CCCCTCCCTGCCCCGGCCGCCGCGCGCCCGCCCTCGCCTCCCCCGGGTCCCCAGTGCCAGGTCCCCCAGGGAGGAGTGGGACCCCCACGCAGAGCGGGAAGCGGAGGCGCCGATGGCCACACGCGTGGGGCGGGGGTGCGCGCGGGACCTGACCACTGCTCTTCCCGGCTCGTGCCAGGCTGCTTACCTCCCCATTCTACAGAGGAGGTGACTGAGGCATTGGGGTTAAAATCGGTCCCACACTCACCCCTGTTCTAGCCCAGGATCCTCCATCCCTGTCCAGCCCGGGGACGCTGCCCATTGTTCTGTCAGGGAAACTGAGGCCCGAGAGGGGTGGGATTTGCCCCCGTGGTCGCTCAGCAGCACCTCCCACCTCCAGGAAGCAGTGTCTACCCAGACCGACCCATCTGTGTTCTAACATCCCGTGCACCCTGGGGAAACTGAGGTAGGTGTGTCTGATGGGAAGCAATAGGGTGGCTGTCCTGTCCTCCAGCAGAGGGCAGGCAACTTGGGCCAGAGAACTCCTCTTCACCCTTCAAAACCCAGTGCCAAATGCCCCTACTCTGAAAAACGTTCCCTGCTTATCACCCAGAAAGAGGCATAACACGGGCCTCTTAAACTCCCACTCCTCCACCCCCACCTACTTTAACTCCATGACGCTGTTATCTTTCTGTTCATTTATTTGATTTCTTATTTTCTGGCCATCTCCCCCCCTCAGTTCTGGGAGGACAGGGCCTTGTTAACAGCTCTTTCTCCAGGGCTTGCACACAGTGGGCGCTCTATAGTTGCTTGTTGCTTGAGTCACTGCTCAGACAGGGACACTGGTTACATCAGCCTCCACCGCTCCAGAACCTTCCGTAGCTCCCACCGTCGACCAACCCCAGCCTTCTCTTGCGTTCTCTGGGCCTCCCCACGTCACATGGCCCGGGGTCCTCGTGGCCCCGGCACGCAGCAGGCGCTCCGGAAACGCTGCCAGCGCCCTGCACGGAATTCTCTCTCCCGTCCTCCCTGGGTGGGGGGAGCAGAGAAAACCGAGCCAGGGCGGATCCAGCACGGAACATTCCAGGCCCGATGAATGAATCCGCACTTGGCTGACTTTTCACACACAGAAACCACCTCCAGTGGGAGCCGATGTCGCAGGCAGGAAAAAGTCTCCATTAGAGAAATAAAAGCGCCAAGTGCCAGCTGGCGGTATGCGCCGAATTTTGGGACGACCGTAATGAGGGCCAGGTGGCTGGGTGCCAGGGGACAAGGAAGCCACCTCATCCAGCCACCGGGCCAGGCATCGCAGGACAGGGAGGGTCCCCGCCTGAGGCCACCGCCATGCCAGGAGCGCCCCCATGTCCCGGACGAGGCGCCGGGGTATCAAGTGTCCTCAGGGACCCTCCCTGGGGTGTGGTCCCTCCGACTGCGTGAGTCCTCAGAAACAGGGACCCATCCTCGGTAGGGGACACTTCTCTCTAATCTGGCCCTTGATGGATGCTTATTCAGTCAGTCAACAAACACTGCTGTGTGCTTGTTCTGGGGAGCCAGCTGCCCTGTGGCCCCCCTGACTCACACCGTGACGCCCTCATATCCGGTTCTGCTGCCCCCCCCCTTCTTCCGAGTCCCACTGGGCCGTCCTTTCCCACGATCAGGGGCAGCGACGAAGGGCCGGGTTCCGCTGCGGTCCAGAACCTCGCTGCCCACTGTGTGACCTGGGACGGCTCCCTGACCGCTCTGTGCCTCAGTTTCCTCATGTTTACAAGGACGACTGTCGTTCCTGCTCCCTGGCTGCCGTGCAGATTAAAGGAGTGAGCACACAGGGAGGATTGTTGTCTAAAACTGGCAAAGTACGAATAACATAAAATTCACCGTCTTACCCATTTTAAGTGCACAGCTCAGGGGCATGAAGCACATTCGCGTTGTCGTGAAGCCATCCCCCCATCCGTCTCCAGAACCTTCTCATCCTCCCAAACTGAGACTCTGTCCCCATGAAACACTGACTCCCCTCCCCTCCCCCAGCCCCTGGCCCCACCATCCACTTTCTGTCTCTGTGGCTGTGACTCCTCTAGGGGCCTCCTGTGAGGGGACCACACAGTGTCTGTCCTTCTGTGTCTGGCTCATGTCACTGAGCGTCATGTCCTCCAGGTCCATCCACGCTGGAGCAGGTGTCAGGATCTCCTTCCTTTTCATGGCTGAGTAATATTCCAGCGTGTGGATGGACACTGCGTGTATCCATCATCCATCCACGGATATGCGAGCTGTGTCTAGTGTTTGGTTGTTATGAATAAAGACGGTGTGAACACTCATGAGCTGTGAGCGGTTGGCTCTGCTGCGTGGAGGACTGTGATGGACTAGCGAGGCGGGGGCACAGGTGTGCAGGCTGCTGTGAACATGGGTGTGCAGATATATATTCAAGCCCCTACTTTCCGCTATTTTAGGTCTATACCCACTTTTTGTGTGTGTGTGTGAGGAAGATCAGCCCTGAGCTAACATCCGTGCTAATCCTCCTCTTTTTGCTGAGGAAGACCAGCTCTGAGCTAACATCTATTGCCAATCCTCCTCCTTTTTTCTCCCCAAAGCCCCAGTAGATAGTTGCATGTCATAGCTGCACATCCTTCTAGTTGCTGTATGTGGGACGCGGCCTCAGCATGGCTGGAGAAGCGGTGCATCGGTGCGCGCCCGGGATCCGAACCCGGGCTGCCAGTAGCGGAGTTCACGCACTTAACCACTAAGCCACCGGGCAGACCCAGGTCTACACCCAGAAGTGGGATTGCTGGGTCACATGGAGATTCTATATTCACTTTTTGAGGAACCTCCAGACTGTTTCCCACAGCGGCCGCCCCACATCATGTTCCCACCAGCCATGCACGGGGTTCCTCCCCCACACTTATTTTCCCTTTCTTTTCACACGCCCATCCCGGCGACTGAGAGGTGGTATCTGGCTGTTTCACACAAACCCAGCAGCCCTCGGGGTCACCGTGAACGATGGCGCCGTCGGCATCCCCCCTCTGCAAGGCCAGCCGGGACCTGGGGTCTGGTTGTGCGGCCATCCTCACGGACAGGACAATGACGACGGCAGCACGTGCTGTTTCACGCCCCCGCCCCACACCAGCTCCCGGAGGCTCCCTGCAGGCCTGGGGGGTTGTCCCCTTACAGACAGGGAAACCGAGTCTGCGAGCCCAGGAGGGCTGCTCTGAGGCCACGCGGCGATGTCGGCCGGTTGGGAAGAGCTCAGTGGCTCCACCCCTGCCCCCTGGCCCCAGCCCCGGCCCCCTCTGCGGCAGCGCGGACGGGGGACACAATGGAAGGGCGACCTTTCAGGCCGGCACCAGACGGGCAGCGGGGACGCGAGCGCGCCGAGGCTGTCCCGGGCTGGGCCGGCCGTGCCTGCGTCTGCAGGCCTGAGTCAGAGCCTGGGGACAGCCCGGGGGTGGGGACCCCAGCCCTCTGCCCAGGGCACCCGCCCCTGCCCCCAGCGCTGCAGGAACCACCAGCTGTCAGGTCCCCCGGCCCCCAGCCCCCGGGTGAGGCCGGGGGGACACAGCGGGACCTCCCAGGACCCACCGAGTGGGCAGCTGCGGGTCCAGATCGGTGGTGGGGGCCCTTGGCCGCGAGAATCTTTGGGGCGTCAGGGGCAGTGGGCACAGCCCCCCCAGGGGGAGAATCCAGACCCAGGGAGGCGGCC